TCTAATTGCAAGGATTATGTTTCTTCCCTCAGGAGTTGGGATGATGGGCAGTGAGTACGACTGAACATAGAGATGGGAGGAGCTGAGGAAAGCATGAAAAGCTCTGAGACAGAATGATTGGCTGTTTATTATTTCACTCAATGGCATGTAAATCAATTCATAATCCTGCTAATGTGGTTTTTTCAGAATCTCTGGTTGCTATGCTCTCTCACAATTAAAATGAATCTACAGTTCATTTCTTTTCAAACGTTCAAACTCAGTCTTTTTATCTTTCGTGTTGTTTTTACGTTGTTCTAGTGCAACACTCAGGCTGTAGTTTCCAGTTGCTGTGTATTATCTGCACACATGCTTTCTGACAACAAAGCTGACTTTGACTTGGAACATGTCGTGTCAGCAAAAGCTCTGGATGATGTTTCAGTGAGTCCTGTTCTCCAGACAACAGATGCTATTTGGCAATAATAGCAATAATTTTCCACATGGAAAATCTTTCTATACAACTTTGTTTGCAATGTGAGCTTCACTTCTATTTGTAGAACACAAACACTCATGTTCTCTTGTCCTCTTATACTCTGTCCAGGTCTGTTGAAAATAATGTCCCAGTGGAAAAGCTTGTTAGTTTAGGCCTTTATAGATTCTGATGATCTCTGAGCAGCAACAGCAGGAAATAAACCTCCAACTGAACGAACTCTGGGAAATCCAGTCATCTTTTCACAGGTGGGGATGAGGTGAGAGAAATAAAGAGCTTTTAGAAATAACAGTCAACAAACACATTATTGGGATGAAGTCCTTTCAGCCTCTGTGCGACACACAGACAACCTCCCACAGACACACACAGACAACCTCCCACAGACACACACAGACAACCTCACAGACACACCACAGACACACACAGACACACAACACACACACAGACACACACAGAGACCACAGCACACAGACACACACAGACACACAGACTCACAGACACACACAGACAACCTCCCACAGACACACACAGACAACCTCCCACAGACACACACAGATGAAACGAACATATATTGATGAACTCAGGATGACCTACTAGCCTTGTGTACATGTGAGAGCTTCAGGTATATAGAATTACTTAAGGCTGTTGTTCAGTGTTAGTAAAAGGCGTACATGTGACAGGCGTGTACTCTCTGACTTGAAATGTTGTGCAAGGTCAGGGGTGTCAAACTCAATCGCACAGGGGGCCAAAGGTCAAGGCCCGCTTTAGGTCGCGGGCCACACAAGATAAACATTTATTGAACACTAAAACAATGTTTTAAACATAAATATGAATCAAAACAGACAGGAATATTATTAAATAAACTTCAAAAAATAAACTTTAACTTTAAATATTTTGCTCTCCATAAAAATATATCCTGTCAAATATGCAAGTTAGAAATATGAACATGCTGCCAAAACCCCAGAAAAAGTAAATGAGAGCAAACACAAGGTTGGAGCCGCATGCAGACGAGCTGGGCGCTGCTGCAGGAGTGCAGCTAATAAACTGCGCGGGACATTCAGTGTCTTTCCCTGAGTGCATCGTTACACTGCAGCTGCAGCTGCATCTGCACAGGTGCAGCTCAGCAAAGTGCACTGACTTGGTTCAACATCACTGCAACAGAGAAACTGAGGCAGGCTGCACTGGTGCATTAGTGACAGCTTCACTGCGTCACACGTGTCCATGAACTGACAGGTTTCCTTGCTGAGCTCAAAAACTCGATTGAGAACTTTTCCCAGCTCAGCCAGCGGAGCTCTGCATGAAGGAATGTGGGCAAACTCTGAATCTATTTCCCACATAAGACTGAAACTGACGGTGATTTAAACTTTTAGCTCAGATCAAATGTACGGTCTGCGTCACGGTGATCATTACATGCTCCATTTTTAGGACTTTACCACACAGCCTTTCCTGGTGTGTGATGCAGTGATGCTGATAACTCACTGGTACATTTCTCCTGCATCTTTACTCGCATCCTGCTGACTAGTCCGCTTTTTTCACCGCACAGCACCGGCGCTCCATCTGTTGTAGGTCTAACAAGTTTGTCCCAGGGCAGTTTCATGTCGGCTACACTTTGACATGTGTTTTAAAAAATGTATTTTCCTGTCGCTGTGCATCGATTTAATGGTCAATATTTCCTCTCCACGGATGAAGATGGCCAGCTGTGCAGTGTCCATCATGTCTGTACTTTCATCCACAGCAATAAAGTTTTAGCTTCTTTCACACAGCTGTGTTCTTAAATCAGTGACCGTCTCACAAACCCGATCAGCAATCGTACTTCTGCTCAGGCTCACGTTTGCCTAAATCTGTGTTTTGTCTGGACACAGCTTCATCCTGCAGCTCTTCAGAGCGGTACCGGCCTGATTTGGCTCCTCTGCTACAGTAAAACTTGCTTTTACAACAGCTTCACTTTGTGATTTTGCTCTGGTGACAAACGTCTGCTGAAATGTCAGATTCTACTTCCTGTAGTTTCTGCGTTTAGGTTTTTCAGCTTATCCTGACGTTTTGTCTCGTAGTGCCGTCTTAAATTAAATTCCTTCATTACAGCCACATTAGCTCCACTAATAAGACGCACGGCTTTACCAGCATGTCTGTAAACATATATTCAGCCTCCCACTGGTGCTGAAAGGCTCTGCTTTCAGAGTCAACTTTTCTCTCCACCATTGTGAGCAGCGAGCTTCAATAACAGAAGTTTGACTTGATTGATGTTCCCAGTTAGCCTAGCGTTCAGCAAGGAGGCTGCAGCGCTGCATTATGGGATCTGTAGTTTGTATATTATTAGCGCCTCATCTCGCCGGGCCATGCATAACAACAATAGTACATCTACATAAAAGGATCTCGCAGGCAGGATATAAATGTACGGATGTGGCCCGCGGGCCTTGACTTTGACACATGTGTGCTGGGTCCTGCGCTGTCTGGCTCTCCACTCCTGCTGCTGAGCAGCCTCCGCTCACACATCAGCTAGTCTTACGCCATGGGTTGATGTAAATTCTTATGGGTCTCCTTTGTTACTTTTTCATTAGCACTCTTTCCAGCCAACTCTAAGGCTGCGTTCACTCTGCAGGTCTTGATGCTCAATTCAGATTTTTTGATCAAATCCGATTTTTTTGTCTGCTCGTTCACACTACAAATAAAATGCGACAGCAAACGCGCTCTAGTGTGAACGCTCAAAGCGGCCGCATGCGCAAAAGAAGACGTCACACACAACGCGCTCTGTTTAGACCCAGAGCAAACAGTATTGTTTGACTGATGGCCTTAATATAAAGACTTGTTTCAGACTTTACGTTTCCCAATTTAGCTTTAAGTTATAAAGTTATTTTGTTATTTACATTTGGCCTAATAATGACCCTTATTGCTGTTTTAGAGAGGAGCGGTGCTTCAAAGGATAGTTGCAGATTTCTGCAGTACAAATAAAATGTTCACGTTTCTCCAACGTTGTTCCCAACAGTTTCACTGACATCTACACTGGATGGACAGGAAGCGTTCACGATGTCTTCTCCGGCGCTGATAATTGGCGTCTGTCTTGTGTCAGTGACGTAAAAGACGGATTTAATGCGACGTGACCATCAAACAGCAGTCGCTTTCTGAAACACACCGTTTACTGCATGTCACTGACTGGTAATCTGAAAGTGTGTGTGTTGTCCAACTGAACCATATCCTTTTGGTTTTTTATTTGGCAATATTGAGTTTGAAAATCATCAGGATGACATTTGCCATAATCTGGAGGTACTTAATGAACCGCAGACGCACAAAGATGCTTCTGTCACCGTTTCACAGAGGTTGTTGGTTTCCAAGCAGTTTTCAGTCCTCTGGGCTGCTGTTAAAGCTCCATGCTTGAGTTAGGACTTGGGTTTGTGTTCTTCTACAAAAAGGTTTGAGAGACCATTTTATTTATTTTTCTTTTCTTTCTTTGCACACTTGAAATGTATATAGTTGGTGTACTAATGGATAATCTAATGACTTTTATTTTACATGGAAGTCATTCTAAACTGACCTTTTCTGTCTCATTTTCCAGTTGGCTGTTCACCAAATCACTGTTCAGGTTGCTCCCCAATTTCAGGGGTGTCCCCAGTCATTACTGGGAAGAACAAAGGAACACACTGTTGGCATGTTTTATTTCATCTAGTGTGGATAATGATGAGTAAAAGACAGCTACATTCACCATGCAAAACAACAGCGTGACACAAAGATGAGGTTATGTATCTCTGTGTTGACCATCAGTCAATATGACAAATTAAACAGCAGTGACATTTTATCTGGGTGGAGGTAAAAACCATTGTTATAAAGTGAAATGCCAGCAAGCATGGAGCTAAAATAAATAACAGTGTATTTTAGTCTGTTTGCTCTTGGTTTTGAGTGAAGGTACAGAAACAGTATATAAGTGCTGGTGTTCGGTTCAGCACCTGCACACCTGAAGGCTGAAGTTACAAGCTGACACTCATAACAGGGAAGATAAGGTATTATGTCAAATGCTTCCTGGGAAGTGTCAGATTATTGTCTTTTCTTTAATAAACGACCTACTTTGAATTTTCTGATTTGTACAGAGATGCTAAACATCACCATGAAGCTGCTGACTGTGTCTACACTTCTCTGTGCAATGGTGGCTCTGGGCACTGCTGCTGGTGAGTATCCCAGTATACTGAGCATCATCTATACACCTTATGCATGAATATATTAAACTGAAAATTATAATGAAAATCAACATTTGCTGTTGTCTAGCACTTCCAGATGAAGTGGCCAGTAATGGGACAGAGGCATCAATTTCAGCAGGTCAGTGGACTTTTCAGGTTTGAAACCAAAACTAATCACATTTTTATCATCAGTACATCAGCTTTCATAAATTTGTTTTCATGTGTGATGGACAAGTACATTTATAGCTTAAAAAAGTTCATCTTCAACACTCAGATAAAAACACATTTTTCATGAATTTTTAGTTTAAAAACTTTTCCGACACAGTAAAGCAGCTCAATATTCTTTGATTGTCTTCAGGAGAACATCGTGTTGAGAAGAGAGCAGTATCTTGTCCAAGCGGCTGGACTCAGTATGGGAATCGATGCTTTCTCTACGATAACCGTCAAATGACTTGGGCTCAGGCGCAGGTAAAAGCACTGATGTGAATTTATCATTTATTCTTTGTGCAATCTTAACTCTTTCTGTTTACGTTGTCATTTCCATAAACTCAGTCTGTTGATTTCCATTGTAGCGAATCTGCCAGTCCTTGAATGCAAACCTGGCATCTGTAAACAGCCACGACGAGTACCAGTTCATTCGAGCCGTCATATCTAGTGCCTCTCGTGAAAGTGGACTAACATGGGTTGGTGGCTCAGATGGTCAACAGGTATATCGCTTATCATTATTCAGAGGACCCTCCCTCATTAGCAAGCACGTGGTGACAGTGGGGAAGAAAAACTATTTTTAACAGGAAGAAACCTGAGGCAGAACCAGGCTCAGGGACTAGTTCCCATCTGCAGTAGATATGGAGGTCTTTAAGATGGGATCTGATTATTCAAGACTTATTATTGTATCTACATGCACATTTAGAACTTGGAACTGTAGCTTATTTGTGAACATATTCTTGCCTACGTTTTTCTGTTTTCTAGGAGAATTACTGGTTTTGGATTGATGGAAGCTATTTCACATTTACGCAGTGGTGTCACGGAGAACCTAACAACGCTGGGGGAAACGAGCATTGCTTAATGGTGAATTTTTCAGGTAAAGCTAAAAGTACAATGTAAGAGCACTATAAATGTTAAAGAAAAAAGGAAACAATACCCAAAATCCCCCAAATAATCTTTATGCATTTAATGTGACAAACAGTGATGAGTGAAAAAATGTCAGCAGTACATTTTTCTATCATATTAATTATTTACATAGTGTTCTGATGCAATGCTAAACACATGTATGTGTCAGGTGCTGTTGTTGTACAGAACAACATATTTAGATCAGTGATCATTTCTCCATGTGATTGTGATTTCAGTTCATGCTGATTTTGTGTACTTACAGGAAGCAAGTGTTGGAATGATGGGAGATGTGACAGCCAGTACCCATTTATTTGTGTCAGGGCCAGCTGCTGATTCCTGGGCTCTCGTGAAGGCGTGGCCTACCTGACGACAGAGCAAATCCTCTAATATATCACAATAAGAATCTGGTTCTGATTTGATTTACTTCTTTTCTTTTACTGTAGTGCTGCATAAGGAATGAAGCGACAAGTGACATAAGCTGGAGTTGCTCTTTTAACAGGAGCAGATTGCATGTGTACTTGAAACAAAGCTTTTAGCAAAACTTTGTTTCCCAGAATGAATTGTTGTTTCTCATCTTCTTCATCATTAAAATCTTAAGCATTGAATCAAAATGGTCTGTGCATTTAAATGCTTCATGCTTATCAGTGTGCTCTTAAATATCACATACATCTACTAGTTGTATATACATATACTATTTCTCTGAGCTTAAAAAACTCATGCAAACGCATTGCCTAGAAAAACAAAGAAACACCAGCAACGCTTACTTAAGATGACTAAATCAGGACGACTTAATCATTGTGAGTACAAAGTACTACAGATGACTTCATTTTTTCTGAGTGAGCAATACTAATTATTTATCCACTGAAAAAGATTTGAAATCTAACAAAATAAAAATATATATAAATTTTGTGTTAGCTTACTATTTTAAACTTTGCTAATGTTTTATCATCCTTGAACTTGAGATTTATAGTAGAACACTTAAACACTATAAGTATGGCTAAAAAATAACTATCAGCATTTCTTCTAATGCAGTTAAACTCAGTCCAACGGTGATTTTCAAATGCAAGAAAGTATATCAGTAAACATCTTGGACACTGTTCTGCTAAATATCAAACAAGCATATTCCTACTATTGTGTCTTGTGCTATTTAATAATACTTAAACAATTATTAAATTGGTATTTGTATATTTTTTTGTTACACAATTTAAAACTTTTAAAAACGTATAATAAAGTATTTCTCAACCTCATGCACTGCTTAGCCAATGCTAAAGAAAAAACTTGTATGAACAGCACACAAGAGTGAAAACAGATATAAGATGCCTAGAAAAATCATATAAATGAAACATGTATGTTTTGGATACTTATGTGAAAGTAATGAGAAAGTGGCCACTTTCATGAGTAAATCACGTAAGCCTGATATGATTCACTATATGAAGCAGGCCACATCTGATGCAAGTCTTTCATAGGTTTTTACTGTTTCTTTTCCATATGGGCAGAAACACAGTCAGCCCAATATTTATGTACTAAAACCAACTATGGTCAGTTGACAGCTTAAGTTATAATTATTTAATTTTTCCACAGAGCGATATCCACCCCTGCTTGTGTCACTCAAGAATGCGAGTTTGATTGATGACCCTAGCCTTGACCTTTTGACCTTACCGGAAGTACTCCGGAAGTGACTAATCGATTCCAGGGCTGTGTCCCAATTCAGGGTCGCATGCTTGAAGTACGGTGCGTACTATAAGTACGAGAAGTGCGGAAGTGAGAGGCGTGCTGTTCAGGTGGCCTAGCAACCATGATACTAACCGCGAGAAACGTTAACCTCTTCGACATGTCAATGGCTGTGAACAAAGAGAAACTTGTAAATAACTCATGGAAGAATAAAGTTACGTTGAAACCAAGCACACCATTGTTGTTCTTGTGACATTACCAATAAGTCTGATGTGTCACATGGCCCTCTTCCTATTGGAAAAACAAAAGTTGTATCCAAGATGGCCGACTTCTAAACGGCTACCATGGTCACCGCTCATCTTGAGGAGTTTGCCCCTTCACATATACTAATGTGCCACAAACAGGACTTTAATATCACCAACCATTCCCATGTTGTTATGGTGTATCCATATAAATGGCCCACCCTGTATATTGTGTTCAGTACACTTCACTACAGTGGGATTTCGGAAATATATAAATATATGGACAACAGGCTCTTCCATGGCAATCTCTTGTCGTCAATAAGCAACGTTTAGGGAGCTCTATAGTATTCAATGAGAGGACCCTGCACGTCAGTTCTCGACGCGAGGGGGTACCCTTCGCGTTGATAAGTGAAGCAGAGGGAGCCTGACCATGCGTCACACATTTGACGAGTTAGGAGTGAGAACGTGTTGCTCTGGCACAGCTACAAGCCATGTGAGCTCGTAGCCCCTCCCACTAGGATGTACTACCACAGTCGACCGTCGTAAAGCAGCCGCAAACCAATAGCAATACAAAAACCCTCAAAATCATTGAAGAACATTTTATAACCGAACACCCAATACAGATATATACATATATACTGAATATCACACAATATCAGATCACCAAATTAACACTGGGTTACATTAACATTTTACCACAACTTCACCAGATGTAGCTCAAGCGCGTTCCCGGACAGTGCCAGCAGATTGAAACTGAAAAACAAATTGTAAGCGATACAAAAAATGTAGTTTCAATTAATTGTTTTTCACTATCATTTTTTTTAACTTACAATACAAGAGTACATTTATTTCAGTTACAATATTTTTTTCTCAGTTTCATTTTAAGGTGGCATTGTTCTAACCCCATGATTCTGACTGAGAGACACCATACCACTGTGTTCGGCCACGATGCGCTGAGATCAGTGAGCACATACTGTATGTCTCAGTTAGTTTAGGTTGTTTTCCACTTTATTGTTGAGTAACTGAATTTATCTAAATTGTTTTGATTTATAATTGTCGCATTTGCAATAACTTTACTTAGTTGGATTGTAAGTTTTAATGTTTTCGTATATTATTTGGAAAAGTGTTTTACCATTCGTTTGCTTTATTGCTTGTTTTTTTTGGGGGGGTTTTTTTTTTTTTTTTCTTTTTTTTCTTTTTTTTAAATATGACGTCATCAAACTTCTAAGTTGTGAATTACAGCTAGAACAGCATAATTAATATTTGAGTTGCTGACCCCTTCTGTTGACAGGTCTGGTTTATTGTACACTGGATTGTTCCTGAGGTGCGAGCCTTCCCACCTGGACTTTGAAAGACTGAGATTCGCTTCTTTCTTGATGATCTGCTGCACTTTGCG